ATGAATACTCTGAGGACCGGGGTTGAATCCAAGCGCTGAGTGCACAATAGTTTAATCAGTGGGGATATACAGGCAGGGATGAGGCAAAAATCACAGTCAGTACCGCGGAGTCTATTCAGGTCACAATAAGGTTAAGGCAGAATCGTAGACAAGCGAGAAAAACTATACAGGAGGTCACAGTAGGGCTAGGCAATAACGTGGTCGGAAAACAAGACTAAAGATAAGGACTGGTACACAGGAATTCAATCAAATTAACTTATCTTAAAGGCTAAGGACGCTGCGCGTAACAAACCTTACCTCACACTGAACACACAGGGCTATAAATACACCTAAATTGGACACAGGTGTTAGAACTCAGGTGAGTGAGAATGAGTTCTGATTGGCTGGTATGCGGTGGTAGTAGCTAGTGTTCCTGTGGCTTGACTGGTGGTAGTAGTAGCAGGTGTTACAGTAGCCATATATCTTGTATTCAGATACTGAAAATTAAAGGTAGAACTCATGCATAATGATGCTTTACTGGCAGCAAAATTATACACAGTATTTACCCAGTACATATGCCTACTAGGCAGAGTTTATTGACAGTTCGTGTTGTGTGTTTTTGCTCGTTTTGCAATGTTTTGTGTACGTCTTAAAATGTCTTAAAATCTGTGTTCTAAATGCTGCAGCTGGTGCTCAGAAAAAAATACTTGACAAATACACCTGATTCTGATTTTGTGTTTAATTGAAGGACAGTGCTTCTTTCAGCTTGTTTTGAGAAAAATGTGTACGTGCGATAAAGAAGCAATATACAGTATAATGGGTAATCTGTCACACTAGAATGCAAACGGTATTTTAACCAGAAAACATATGCTCCCCATATTATCTGTAGCTATTACAGTAGATTCATTGTTTTGCAATCTTTTCAATAACGTAAAACCGGTCAAACTGATTTTTGGACATGTTACACACATCGTTCCTCTATTGTAAGTCAATAAAACAGACCACGTTATCGGCTTCAACTAGACACTACTCTAATGCATTCCTTACAGACTCAATAACTGGATGGGTACCCTGTTATTATTATCCAATTAACCAATTAACCCAAATTAACCCATGGATAAAATGTTTTTGTTTTTTGTGTTTTAAGAAAGTTTAGGTGTGAGCATATTGATAGCGTCGCGCAATTGCTGGCTGTGGAAGAAATAAAAGATCTTCTCAAAGCAGGGAATTGTACTTAAACTCTCCAAAGCTGGCTTGTGACTATTGCCTAACTATTGGCCTACATAGAACTGCAGCCCACTGTCCAAAATAGGAGCAGGCGATCTCAGCAGAGGCACAGTTTATTGTGCTTATTTGGTTGGAAAAGTGAACACGTTAATTGGGAGCGAGGAGTTTGTATTATGAGTCATTGTGTGTCAGGGGAGCAAAAGGTTTAAAGGTTCTGAACGTTATGTTAATCAATCCTCGCTGCTTTCCCTGGCTTATTATCACGGTACTGGGCAAGCTCAGGTTTTAACCCTTTCCCTGGCTTATTATCACGGTACTGGGCAAGCTCAGGTTTTAACCCTTTCCCTGGCTTATTATCACGGTACTGGGCAAGCTCAGGTTTTAACCCTTTCCCTGGCTTATTATCATGGTACTGGGCAAGCTCAGGTTTTAACCCTTTCCCTGGCTTATTATCACGGTACTGGGCAAGCTCAGGTTTTAACCCTTTCCCTGGCTTATTATCACGGTACTGGGCAAGCTCAGGTTTTAACCCTTTCCCTGTGTTTGTTTTGCAATCTTTGAGGGGATCCCAAAAACATGTCCATTCAAAACCGTATTTCTTGTTAAAACGAACTTTATCTCTTAACCTCACCCAAACTCCGCTGATTATAAGCCTGACTTCATTATTCAATCGTCACCTAAACCTTTTCTCTGAGCCTTTCCCTCGTGGACCAGCATAATGTTCGGCACAAGGCTTAATCTTCCTCGTTTCACCACGTAGACACACACATTTGAACACAAGTCCAGACGCTGAGCACCCACGGGTTTCTCAGAATGCCTGATGATGAGAGTGTTGTGTGTGAATGTGTGCGTGAGACAGATGGATAGAGAGAGGTGAAGGTGTGTGTCAGCCCGTGTCTAGGGCAGTGGCGTAATAAAGCGAAGAAAGAGCTCTTTGTGACAGCTGCTCCACAAACGGTAGTCTTATGATCTTATGCTCCCCCAACTGACCTGTGGTTCCTTAAACACAAACAAGCAGCGAGGGAGCGGATGCTTATCTCACTGATACAGGAACACGCACACACACACACACACACACATTTACACGCTCACACAACTGACGCCTTCATATTTTCACACAACCGACGCCTTCGAGGACCTTGATTCGCCCAATGTGTTCCACTGGCAAAACATATGTGGCCTTGCGTTTGAAAGAACCATTGTCGTCGATGTATATTTTTCACACCCGATTTAACATAATGCTTTCATTACCAATCCTTTTTCAGGTCTCATAAATTACACCTAAGTGAACTGTCAAGTAAACTAATAAATCAACCACTGCACTAAAGAAATACAGCCGGCGCACGCGCACACAGACACACGCGCACACACACACACACACACACACGCACCCACATACGCACACACACGCGCACACACACGCACACACACACGCACACAAGCACACACGCACACACACACACATACGCATACATACGCATACACACATGCGCCCACACGCGCACACACACACACACGCACACACACGCACACACGCACACGCACACACACACACACACGCACACACACACACACACTCACACACACTCACACATACGCACTCACACGCACACACACACACACACACACGCAGTAGAGTTTTTCTACTATGGCTGGGCATATCAACCTTCTTCTGCTTATCACATCCAGTCTTCATTACTCATCAATAGGTCCCCAGTATGACCTTCATGAAAGCCCTGTCAGAATGACGATTCAGATCCAATATTCGGCCTTGCTTATTAAAGTCCCGTCACACACAGGGCCCACTCAGAGATCAGGGTGCCTTTATTACAGCTCACATCACACTGGAGGCCTTCTGAGCAGAACAAAGCCTTCTTTGGCCTAATCCTTCGTCCGCGGCGACATCATTAAGCTGTCAATCAAAGTGAGAGAGCGGTTATTATGCGCCGTGGGGTTGTTATCTTATATTGGTCCAATAATCACCTCACCTGGCACACTTTAAAAGGACCAATTGGAGGGTTGTATTCCTGTCGTGACCCTGGCTCCTCCATATATTGTCACATTTTTCACGTGAAATATATCTGTTGTAATGTATTACAGTTTTTAGCAATCCCTTTGACCATTATCTCAGAACCTTAATGTCATTTTCCACAACTCTAGACACAAAACTCACAACCGAAGATCTAAATGCACTTTTCTCAAAACTCTAACACGTTTTTTCCAATTGCTTGGATACAATACACCTAAACTGAAGATCATTTGTTAATTTAACTTCTATCACCAGTTCAATATGATACAATGTAACATCAAAGTACTACTATTTCAAAATGCGATTCCTACATTACGTTTGAAATGATAGTCTGTTCATTTAATTTGACAGATCTAACTATCAATTGATACAACTAGTCAAAATGATAAGTATTTGCTGCATTACTCTTAATGCATAGTTTTATGGAAACTGACAAACAATATTCCACGTTTACAGTAAATCATGAAAGATTCAAGATACTGAGATTTTTTGTCACCAATTAGCGTGGAGCATGAACCAATTAGACTACAATATCCATGGATGTAGCCTAATATTTTATCATACTGTAATGCTTCAACAGACATTGTGTCTATATGGTCCCAAATACTGCACCACCTTTTCAGACTATTTACAGTACTGACAGTACTGCACTGTATAGATGCAGGCCCTTGTAATTGCTTGTCCAATTCAGCCAACCCGTTACTGATGATTTAGTGCACATTGTGGAATGAGTATATACATAAAGGATTTGGATCCAATTGCCAGAGCATAGTGATTCGTAACATGGAGCCAGCAGGTGATCCAGGTCACAATGGAGGTCAAGCAGTGGTGGCAGGAAGACGAGAAAGAGGATGAAGACGTGTTGGTCAAAGGAATGGCATGGCAGGCACCCCTTCTGAGAGGTGGTCATGGGCCTCGTTTGAGAGGTGTGGGGGAACGTGGTAGAGGACCAGGCCACAGACTAAGACAGCGGCAGCAACAGCAGAGTGTCCAATGAAATTCAGGCAAAAAAAATAAACATCCAAGATGTTTGGCTTATGACAACATCCATTGTGATGTAGATGAGAACCAGTGGCCAAATCCACAACACAGAGTTGATGACAATGTAGAAGTACAGCAATCACTCCTGTTTTGTTTCTTACAGTACAAGCAAGCAAGTTGAGGAACACTGCATTTGATGTTTTATAGTACTGTCAATTTCATAGCTAATTACGGTATTTTTGCTTTGATTCAAATAGACATATGTTGTGATTGTATTCTATTTCATTACAGTAATACATTTCGAATTTTGTTCAATGATTCCACTGTGTTTGTACTATTCTCTTTACCACAGAAGTACATTTACAGGGATTCATTTGCTTGCAGTACCATAATGGAACATGTATCATAAATTTTGTACACCAATATCTAATGATTGGACAAACAACTAACTAGTGAAACTATGGGTATCTTTTGTCTGGCTGATCTAAATCAATGTACCCATGGTATTCCATGATAAATCTATTGTTTGAACCATTGATTGTGCAAATGCAAGGTATCTTTAAAGATATGAATGCACAATGCAATGTTTTGAACATTGGAGAGCCTGTGTTACAAGTGTTCACTGTTGTGAGTTTTGTGTCTAGAGTTGTGGAAAATAACATTAAGGTTCTGAGATAATGGTCAAAGGGATCGCTAAAAACTGTAGTATGACTTTCTCTGGAAAGGGTCATGTGACTGACTATTCTAGGTCTGTGCTTCTGGGGGGGGGGGGCTACTGTACCTACCATACTATAGCTCAGTTGGTTGAGCAAGGCACTTCCAATGCCAGAGTTGTGGGTTTAATTCCCACCGCAGGGC